TAAAATCCAACAATTATTTGATTTTTGCAAGAATTTCCCTAATTAACGTGTGTTTTCCGCGGGAAAAGCGCAAAATAAAACAAACCTTTTTTAGTACTGTCGCGCTGTCGTAAAAAAAAACATAATTTTTAAGCAAAATTTTCTACGTGCTAGAAAGGAGTAAAAAATTCAAAAAATATTTAAAAATATACTTTGGTCTTTCCTCTTCATAACAACATAAACATAACATAAACAAAACTTTGTTTTCGTTGATTTATGAGTCATTTTTAATCGTGATATGCCGATTTTTTACGTGACCTGGGAGTAAAAGAGAATGAGAAGACTTATGAAGAAACCCAATCCTAAACAGGAAACAAGGAACAAACCTCTACTCCTGTTCAGAAGAGCTATACACGATATATATATATATATATATATATATATATATATATATATATATATATATAAGGAAGAAAAAGAAAGATAAAGTGAAAGAGAGACGGAGTTTAGGGAAAAGAGAGAAACAGAATTCGAGAAAACAAAAGAAATTCAGAGAAAGATTTCGGGCGAGAGACAGATAAAGTTCGGGAGAATGACAAATTCTGGGAAAAAAACGAAAGTGAGGGAGAGAGACAAATGTCGAGAGAAGGAGAGACTAATTTTTTGGTAGAATGAAGCCATGTACTTAGCTTAGGGAGAAAGAGACAGCGACAGTTTGTGAAAAGGACAAAGCAGGAGAGAGTAAGAGAGAAAGAATTCTAAAGAAAGACGAAATGCTGGAGAGAAGAGCAGAGTTCTGGAGAAAGAGAAAACGTGAGAATAGCGAAATAGAGAGACACACAGACATACGGAGGCTAAATGTGAGTGAGTGTTTGTGTGTGTCTGTGTTAATGTGTGAGAAAGAAAGAAAGAAGGAGAAGATTCAAGAAAAAAGAGAGAGCGAGGGAGATTTCTAGAGAAAAAAGCGAAAGAGAAATAGAGTACGGAAAAATGAGACTGTGGCAGTTTATATAAAAGAGAGAGCAGTAAAGAGAAACAAAGTTCATGGGAAAAGGTGGAAAGAGAGAGAGAGCGATATGGAGAAAGAGAGCATGAGAAGAGGGGAGAAAGAGAGAGTCAGAGACCGAATGAGTGAATGAATGCGTGAGAGTGAGAGAGAGGGAAGAAGAGGGGGAGAAGGATAAAGAGAAACAAAGAGAGGTATAAAGAAAGAAAACAGGGGAGAAGGAGTGAGTGTCAATGACGGAATAAGTGAATGAATGCATGAGAGAGAGAAAGAGAGATCATAAAACAGACAGGTAGCGGTATGGACAAATGGAGCAGGCGAGAAGGAGAAGGAGTGTGACCGAATGACTGAATGAATGCATGAGTGCGAGAGAAAGAGAAAGAGAGAGAGAGAGAGAGAGCAGCGAGAATAAATCCACACCTTTTCTCTTTCTATATCTATCTCCTTTTTTCTCTAACACCCACACATAAAACTGTAACGTAAAAACAAATTACCATGTGGAGAAATTACTATTATTATTATTATTGTACATAGACTGACAGTCAGATGGAGGGGCGCACAAAGATTCGAAGAGGGGTAAGAAATTGACGAAGCTCGACCAACAGCGATAATGATAGACAGGTGTGTTTACATCATCACTCGAATTAATACTTATTGAATGAGAGTCGGGATTTCAGCCCATAGTTGAACACCGCAAAAAAAAAAATAAATAAATAAAAAATAAAAAAATAAAATAAAATAACGAAAAAAGAAGAAAGAAAACGAAAACACGGCCCTTTAGGGTAGGCTGCGAATAGTTTACCACAAAGAAAACATAGAAGGAAGATGTAATTATTCAGATGTACTAAGCTAAACCCATATCCTCTTGCATTAGCTTAAACTGACGCCATCTTTTTTTTTTTCATGCACACCATTTTCTTTAAAGTTCGTATTTTCTAGATTTAAGATAAAAATCTGGAAATTATCCCACATATTTCAGTGAAATCTTCACGTTTGAAATTATAATTTATAATTATAGTTTTGATATGTGATAAAAAAAAAGTAGGCGTCAGTTTAAACTATATCCTCCTGCTGCCAGTTTAACATGACACCTTTTTTTATATATATATAGTGATCATTTTGCTTAAAGTTTGTATTTTCTTGATTTTAGATGAAAACTTCCCAACATATTTCAGTGAAATGTTCACTTTAGTTTATAGTTTAGAGGAGAAAAGAAGATATTTTATTTTTAAATCCATGTATATTCATGGTTAACCACAAGTTCTTTTTCTTTAAAGACCTGTGAATTATCATGTCTTTATAGGAAGATCACATGGTGTTTTATTGTTGCCTTCTCCACAGTTAGAAATTTAGTGCCGTTCTTTTCTTAGACCGTAGACTGGGCTTTCTAGCCTTTGGTAGCCAAAGGCTAAAAAGCCCAGTCTACCCTGCTATTTAACCCACACCTGGACGGAGAAGAGATGAATTAATGTTTTATTTATCTCAAGGGTATGGTTGCGTTCTGTGTTGTCTCTGGATTCCCACGCTACTACAAAAACGGTATCAACGAAAAAGGCCATTTACTTTTGGTATTCATTTAAGAGTGGCAGCTTCGATTCTAGGAGACAGTAGGAGGAATGACGTCACAGGAATGCATGTCGCACGGTCACTCAGCGTCCCTCTGTAAGTGGTATTAACTGCTTGCCAACCTGGATGTAGGAGGTATATCGAGGCTTCAGAATTCTTGAGATTTTCTGATGAACTCGTGCCGTTTTGGACTTATATTCAAAACCCAGACAAAGGCAATCCAACACTATCAGAACACCCCGCCCACGATGTACTCCGGCCAATCGCTGACCATTCTGGCCCTGGCCTTTGCATTTTGTAACAGTATTCATTCGAAAGTGAACATAAAAGCTTAAACCGGGATTTGAACCCGACTCGTCGATAACCCTTTCCGCGTAATTAGCCGTTGCACAACTTCACCATACATTCCAAAAAAAGAAACGGTTTTAAACTGTCCATATAGTCTCTTCTTCTGCTTTGTGCCATACTACTTCAGGACTTTGGTGATAATGGCTCTCCACAATTTCCTATCGGTTGTAGATCTTAACAGATTTTGTCTATTTGCTATCTATCCTAAACCTTGTTCTACCATCCACGTACACAATCACGTTAGGTAAGTTATGCGCTGTTTTTTCCTATCCATCTTGTCTTCAATATGTCTTGTGAGTGTGAAATTTTCCAAACCAACTTTCCTCATTGTTTAAAAGAAAAGCGCTGGTAAGACGTTTTTGAAATATTTGATAAGCTTGAAGTTAGCACAAGGACTGGCTTAAGCTGTGGCCAATCAATCTATGTCCACCCATCATATATATATATATATATATATATATATATATATATATATATATATATATATATACACCACGGGTTGACCCAAACCTTGTCAACAAAATTGAGTAGATGGTACTATTTGGGAGCTGGCTATAGTTGTGCTAGAACGAAGTCACAAGTCATTGTGACGGTGGTTTTGAGTGGTGGCCTTGTTCAAACTGTTGATCAAGCCAAATAATGTGCTCTCTCACAGAAACTGTAACTAAGATCTGCTTAGTATAGTTGCACTATGAACCACAACTGGGCTCTGTTGGTATTGAACCAACACAAATGTGCCTGAGCAGGCGTCAGCAACAGGGATTGACTAGCCACCCTAGAATGCAGCAATTATATATATATATATATATATATATATATATATATATATATATATAATTGCTGGTCAATCCTGGTTGACTATATATATATATATATATATATATATATATATATATATATATATAAGTTTCGTTAGAGACATCTTACAAGTAAAACATTTCCATAACTCCAGTTACATATATAAAAAAATACACATTCAGTTAAAAATAAAAATCGTTCTTGATAATAGCTCAAAGAATATCCGAAAAAAGTTCGGATATGTAGAACTTTTGACAGTTTTACAAACTATGTGTCCAGAAAAGTAAACACTTGTACGAACACAAGAAAAATTAAATAAAAAGCTTAATCGCAGTACCTTGTCAGTCGTCTTTAATAAAACATGTATAAAATAGGTATTGCTACCCAAATACACAATATATAATAATAATCGACTCTCCCGTCGAGATTCGACGTATGAGGATCAAGCAGATCATTTTCCAGGAAACCGACAGCCCGACACCGGCACATGAGATTTGATTATAGTGGTGAAGGCTTCGTGCAGGACCATCCACACTTTTTGAAGTGACGAATACAGAGACCTGGTGCACCGAATGCCACAAGGTTCCCCATATATATATATATATATATATATATATATATATATATATATATATATATATTGTTTTTTGCAATTTTCGAGTAAGCTGTCCATCTAAATAAAAATTGTGGATAAAACTATTCAAAGATCATTTTTTTTTATCACAGAAGACGATATTTTAAAGTGTGGATAAAATATTCAATATGCGTATAACAGTTTTAATACTTACAACTTCCTCTTTTTTCACATGTACTGTCCATGGAATTCTCAGAATTCGTCGGTAGAATCACATTTATTTTTCTTCAAGTCTCTTCTTCATCAGTGAGGAAATTGCCCAACTGTCTCTGTCATATTAGAGACGAGATGTCTCATATCAGTTCAGCACTGTTTTCTTTGTTTCTAATAATTTTGCTATGTCTTGGTACAGAGGACGGTAACCTTTGGGAGATATGTCAGATGTATGATAATAAATTGTCTTGCCCTCAGACAACTCCGTCCTCGGTATGACGAAGCTGTCCTGGGTATGACGATAAAATACACACGGCAGCAAGACTTCTGATCAGGAGCATTTCAGTAGCGTGGAACCACCTCGTAATTGCTTTTTTCCCAGGCCCACCCTGACCCGGGGTGGTAGCACCTGTTAGGGTCCCAGCTTTGGGCAAATAGGGAACCCCCAAAACAAAAACAAAAAACTATAAAAGTATAAAAATACATATTTATAGTAAAAATTACCAACAATGCAAGCTTACAGCACCTGGTATTCCGAAGCGGGTACCTATCTAGGTACTGACCAGGCTCGACGTTGCTTAACTTCGGTGAACATACGGGAACCAGTGTATATTCCGTACTTCTGAATCAAATGTATAAATTATTTATCCACATTTAAATGAACATGAATTCGATATAACATAATGTGAGGCTTTATAGAATCTATTTCACTTGTCGGCTATTGTGACATGTGGGGACTTCCTTAATTTGCTCGATTTAGTAGTATCAGCAACGGAAATTGTCAGCAGGGTGCAACCGGAAGTCACAGAAACCCACAAAAATGCTGACCAAGCCCTATTCGGTCTCTTCTCAACTTTTCCTTTTCAGCGGCTGCAACCTTCAAGGCACAGCTCGAAGGGCTACTCAACCCTTGCTGCCAAAGAAACGAAGCCTGTACTGGCAGGTTCACTTCAGATTTTCTGGTTCCTCGTGGGAACAGGCGGAAAGATCTCCCTTCGAGACGTCGACCCAAAGGAAAAACTATACACAACCCTTGCTGCAGAAGACACATACCAATCCTAGCAGTTTCACATTCAGTTTTCTTGTACTCTCCGGTGGGAACAAGCGAAGAAATCTCTCCCTACGAAGTATCTACTCAAGAACTTTGTTAACTGAAAAACCCGACTTTCTTCTACTATTGGTACTCTCTTTCAACTACAAATAAAAGCCGTTAAACAATTATTTCGAGCCCTGGTTTTTGTTCATTACACTTTCACCGCCAAACACAAACACACACAGGCGCGCGTGCGCAACCGGTGTAAATTCCTACATCTTATTACCATCTTTACGATGAAGATGTTTGGTAATACCCATATAAGAGGATGCGTAACACATAGTAACCCAGCACTCTTTACTTCGTTTCTCAACACTTTGCATAACGTTTGGAATGGTTCCAGTTCCATTGCCAAGGTCTCGTGTGCTCACCCCAAATCTATGATACCCCCAATTTATGATACGCGAACCCCACTCTACTACATCTCAATTTTCATAAGGTAGTTTCCATATAAAATACACATTTTATTTTCTAATTATCTTCAATAATGGTAATGGAACATATGCAGTATAGGCGAACAATTCAACTAGAAAATTGAAAATAAATACAATGTCTCTAAGTACAAATTAGAGACACGTCATAGTTAAATTCCAAGATCAATTCTGGGGACAAAACAAATTGGTTTAAGATGACAATTGGAAAACATCTTAGTTTTTGCCGATGCATTTCGTCTTCCGACTTTTTCAAGGTAAAAATGAAATTGAAATGTTTTTGTTGTTATAATTATATTACAAAATCCAGCATGTCATCGTCGATCACTCAAATAAATCAACAATGTTTTGCTGCAATTTTTAACATCAACTTGAGATTTTTATTGCTAAAAAGTTGATCAATTTTTACATTCAATATTATGGATAAAAAATAGTGAAGTTTGTAGCGTTTTTGCGAGAGCAAATCAAATTCGCGGATTTAAATAAAGCAAAAACCAAGAATGGCATCAAAATCAGCGAAAACTTTTCATCCTTTAATAGTCACTTGTGCTTAGTTTAATTTGTAACGTATATAAATGTCGGTAGAAAAAAAAAGCAAATGTTGATAAGATAGCAAGGGTCACTGCCCGGGTCCCGGTCTGGGAGTAGAGGTCGGGGATAGTACGCACTGACCCTGGATGCTTCTTTCGCTCATTCAATGCTTGTTCAGATCTCGGTCAGGGCCGGCGCGTCTTACTCCGAAAACCCCGACCGGGACGGGGTCACTGCGTTTTTTGGGGCCCCGTTGTGGCCTCTGACGTTTTTTTTTCAGTACTGTTTTATGGCTATCCGCCATTTTTAAAAATTAATTTTAAACTTCCGTTACATTGTCAGTCATCAACTCATAATATACATCGTGTATCTTGTCGGAGTTACCTCCTCCTTCTATCCTTGAACTGGCAGAGGAACAGGTCATCTCGACATTGACCTCTCATTCATGCTCCCTATACACTGTTAACCCGTGGGAGAGACTAGCAAATCCCCTTTTTAGTAAAGTTATATTACAAACCTAGTTGTAACATATTTTTTTTTGTCTGCCAACTTGACGATAGTTGGGAACTTTCCTTTCTCTCTCTACTTCGCCTACTACTCCTGGCTCCTGTTTGACTATCGGCATTCCGTCCCTACTGGCTGCCCGCACGTCGTCCTTAACCTTTCCCGTACACTATGTTAGTAATTATTTACGGGAGGTTACTAATATCGGACTCGACCACAAACACGCAACGCCTGCAATGGACCTGTTACATGCCCGAACATCGCCAGCCCTTCTCTCCTTCCCAACACGTCAAGTTGGCATCCCGGCAACGACAAACAACCAACAGTTAGCACCCCGACAACGACTAGCTTCAACAACAGCAATCATCCCGGCAACATCAACTTCATCAACCAACAGCGATGATCCTGCCAACAACCAACTTCAGCTCCAACAATCAACAGCGATGATCCTGCCAACAACCAACATCAACTCCAACAACCAACAGCGATCATCCTGGCAACTACCAACACCAACCTCGACCATCAATGCCTGCACAAGAACTTCTGTACCTCCACCGTTCCGACCATCTTTTATCCCTTTTTCTTTTCTTGAATAAATTAGCGTATATCATACATATCCTCGTTCTGTCGTCCATGTTGTTTCACCGTCAGATTTTTAACGTCTTCAGAAAATGTTAGCGGGCCTCTTGTGACCTCATTCACCCTTGTGTGAATCGGAGCCGCTCGGGGGGGGGGCGCTACAAGGGTTAGTTTCAGCAGCGTTTTTATTATTATTACTTTTTTCCTACCTGAGTTATATTGCCAATCATCAACTATAATAAACAAGAGGGCGGGTGCTTAGTACCCCTAACCTCTCAACCGTATAGAGGCCCCCATGTCTACTGAGAAGGTGGGAGCAGAAGTACTAATTTCAGTCGGATTTATTTTTTAAAATTGTAATTTTCTTTCTGAACAGTTCTTTTAAATCAATTAAGTAGAGGGTACTATATTTCGGTAAAATCATTTTTTATTCTGAGATCACACACGAAGGAGAATCTCTGACTTTTTTTTTTTACTAATAGTAGTACTAACCACAAGTCCACAGCTAGTAATTAAAATAAAATTTGTTCCCCCTGTTTTTTTTCTTTTACATTTCTAGAAAGATAAAACCGAGAAAATGATAGCATAAAAATAAATATTTCAAAACACGTAAAATTTTTTCCCTAAAATTGAAATACTGCTTTTTAAAACAAATGTTTAAGACAATCCCGTTTATGTTGTGTTGGAATCTTTGTAAAAAAAAAAAAAATTCAGTGAAGATGCGTCGGCGATTAATCTTTATGGAAATGTAAAAATTTACGACTTAAACATTTTTTTATCGAGTAAAATTTCGTCATGAAAATATTGGTGGTTATTACAAAAAGATTAACATTTTCTCAGATTTTAAAAAAAAAAAACCTATTCATTATAAAAGTAAATAATTAATGAATATGTACTGTAATTTTCATTTAAATTGGATAATTTCCTGATTTTTGGTAATTAAAAAAAAAACAAAAAAAACGCTACCCTCCCCAATTATTCTTCGAGGGTTTGTGGCAAAAAGATCGAGAAACTTTGAAATTAGCATGTAGTAGAGAGAGGGGGGGATATCAAAGTATCGTTCGAGACACTAGCGCCGGCCTTGATCTCAGTGTCGCATTTTCTATTCTCTGTTAAAATAATTCTCAGATATTTATGGTTCTGCTAAATAAAATTCCACGCAAGGAAAAAACGAAGTGCACATAATAGATAAATTCTTTCGGAATAATAATTTTTGTCTCAGAGAATCCTATATTTATAAACATAGGTAGATAGAAAAGTATGATAAATACGAGACAGAGTTAAGATAACTCCTTGGGACCCAAATGTGACTTAGCTGTTGGTAAATAATTCTTGGAATGTCCTCCACACACATACACACACACGCGCGCACGCGCACTCACAACACAAATGGCGGCGTAAAGATAGGATACGATGATTTTCTTGATAACAATAAAAGAAAAGAAATTGTAAAAAAAAAAAAAAATGTTATGGAAGAAGCCATAAAAAAAATTGGTTTTATTTAGCTCCGAGTTGGTGGTGTGGGTAGGTGGAGTACCTATGATGTCAGGGGCGAAGATGAGCTGAGAAAAAAAATTGTAAATGGCGTCTGGTGGGGGCCAGGGGGTAAAGTGAGAAATCGTACTCCTCCTTCGCCCCCCCCGATACTGATCTTGGCGTTTTTTTTTCCCTGTATATACCCTGATTTTACCAGTACAAAGACAGACGAAAAGCAACATAGAATGTTTAAACACCCCCTCACCCGCTCAGCTACAGACAAAAAAAAAACAAAAAAAAAAAACATTTATCTGTATTCCCAATAGCACATCATTTTACGGAAGAAAAAAAAGGTTTACTCTTTAAAAAGTGTTAAAGTTTCGTTTTTTTTTTTGTTTTTTTTTTTTTTGTTTTTTGTTCGTCTCTCTAAAAGCTAACATCCATACTTTCAAAGTACATAAGCCTAAATGCATAAAAAAAAAACATAACGTTGCATTTTTTACTCGTTGAAAATAGCTCCCAAATGCTGAGTTTCCTGCCGCCTGACATGAAGTGGAGAAAGTATATTGAATCCATTGCTAGGTCAGCTGCTAAGAAAGTTGGTTCACTGTGTCGTGCGAGACAATTTTTCTCTCCGGAGTCTATAATAAATATTTATAAGTCTACCATTCGTTAATGTTTAGAATATTGCTGCCACATATGGTCCGGTGCCTTGAGCACCATTATAAAAATCCAAAAGCGAATCAGCAATATTATCGGTCCTGATCTGGCGGCTCGGTATCAGTTACTTTCCCACCGCCGTAAGAAACGTGTATTTTCTACAAATATTTTCATGGTAATTATTCGGATGATCTCTTCAAATAGTACCTAGACTTTAAATGTAATCTCAGTACTAGACTGGCGTCTTCTTCCCTGATAGCTATAATCTTCAAATATTTAAATGTAATGTCAATCAACATCTTCTGATACCTTGACCTTGATACCTATCCTTTATCCCTTTATCTTTTTCCCAAATACTCCTCTTTACTCTTACTCTCACTCTCCGTAACCTCTTGCGTGCTAGTGGCATTCCTGCCTTGCTTGGGGTGATTTACTTAAAAAAAAAAAAAGATCTCATCAATTTACAGTTGAGCTGGTTAGATGTAAGCGTAAATTCTATGTTAACAGTTTCTTTTCTTGCACTTCTCGCTTGTGGAACTCCCTTCCGTCTCCATGCTTTCCGCACAAGACTAATCTGCAAAAAATTAAATGCCTTGCCAATCTCTATCTACTGCACTCCTGATTACCCTTTTCCCGTTCATTAGTAATGTTTGTGTTTCTTATTTTTCCACACCTTGTAACTCCTTGAGTCTTAGTGGCTTTACTACCTTGCTTGGGACAGAATCTTTCTCGCAAAACAGTTTTTCGTGAAATTAGACTTCTCGAGTCCACTTACTATTATTGCTCTTTCTAGTACTGATGGGAGTTTCCTTCCAAACCTTTTGTTGAGGATAGTGTGGAAAGCCAACATCAGGGTTATATCATTATTTTCCGGACAAGTTACCTGTGCTATCCATATTAGTTGCTGCTGCTCGTGAAAGGCTTCAGATAATTTGTTTTTTGTCATTTGGTAAAGTTCTTTGTGGTCGTTTTCTAAGCGTAGCTGAGATGTGACACAAGGCCGAAAACGTGGAGTGATCACTGAGGATCGAACTCACTGTTCACACGTAATAGATCTCACGAGACAAGCTTGCTAACCATTACACCACGTCGAAATGCCCACTGGTTTTCTAAGTGTAGCTGAGTTGTGGCACAAGGTCTAAAATTTTGAAAATTCGGTGAGAAACGAACTCACTATTCTGTCGTAACTGATCTAGCGAAGCAAGCTTGTTAAATATTACACCACGTCGAAATGCCCACTGGTTTTCTAAGTGTAGCTGAGATGTGGCACAAGGTCTAAAATTTTGAAAATTCGGTGAGAAACGAACTCACTATTCTGTCGTAACTGATCTAGCGAAGCAAGCTTGTTAAATATTACACCACGTCGAAATGCCCACTGGTTTTTCTAAGTGTAGCTGAGATGTGGCACAAGGTCTAAAATTTTGAAAATTCGGTGAGAAACGAACTCACTATTCTGTCGTAACTGATCTAGCGAAGCAAGCTTGTTAAATGTTACACCACGTCGAAATGCCAAAAGTTCACTTCTTGTGATTCTGTAATGCCATTCTATATGTACTGATGATGGTTGTTGGTTGGTTGATTCATTTTTTAAGGTTTATCAACCCTTTGCAGTTTTATTAAAGTCAGAGATTTTTTTTAAATTGTAAGATATTTTGGGAGATAATAATGATTTAGTGATACAAGTATTACTAATTAACCCATAGCTGGGGAGAAAAGAGAAGGATTTATACTTTTCCCAATGCTATATAAATATAACGAACCCATCGGGAATTGGGACTCAGATCTCCAATTAACAATTCCAATCCATTATCAATTACACCACCTGCTCATCCAAGCGTACAGCACCTGGTATTCCCAAGCGGTCACCCATCTAGGTAGTGACCAAGCTCGACGTTGCTTAACTTCGACGATAGTACGGGAACCGGTGTTTCGACGTGATGTTGTCGTAAACTTTTGTCTTTTTTAAGACCTAGAGAATTCATTCTCTTGATTTGAGAAAATAGTTGCATTTTGCTGATAATTTAGACATTACTAAAGGAGCTGAACGCCACGCAGACAATCCATACGTACGAGGTTATTTAAGAGCATGACTCGAGTTCTTAGTTTAATATTTTTGTTTTGTGGCTGGGAAGTGTTTTAACCGGAAGTGCGACACTGAAATCGGAAGGCGCATTGGGATAACGAAAGATGCCTTTCAAAATATAAGCCAAGTACAGAGTGACCCAAAAAAACGGGAATTTTTGAAGTGCGTATTGCCAGAAATGAGCAAGTGGCCACACTGCCAGACAGTGACCTTGAGCAAGTAAACATTTCGCCATTTAGAATTCAAGATGAAATTCACAGTATCCCAGCTGAGACGTTGCAACAGTCAATGAGGAATCTCAACAGCAGATTTCAAGAATGCATTCGTACAGGAGGACGCCATCTACAGGACGTAATTTAAAAAAAATGAAAATTCCATCACTGTTTCTTAAATGGCATGTTTTAAGGTTTCAATTACCATGAATAAAATATTTTTCTTCCATCACTCTTGGTTTTATTGGATTGTTAAAAAGTTCCCGTTTTTTTGGGTCACCTTGTATTAAGAAACAAGAATATCTCGTTAGAAACAAAGAAAAGTGTAGTGAACTGTTACGTAATAACAGTCCTCCTATATGGCAGTGAATGATGGAAAATCATCTATAAGATGAAGAAGAGACTTGAAGCAACAGAAATGCGGTTCTACAGAAGGATGCTGAGGATGTCGTGGACGGAAGTTTTAAAGAAAATGATGATGTTTTAGAGAAAATGAAAACAAAACGGACCCTTACACTTAACATTAAAAAGAAAGATTGAAATTTCAAGGGCGCATAATGAGGGCTTGGAAAATTTGTTACTCACAGGGCAGATTGAAGGCAAGAGAGACAGAGGTAAGCAAAGAAGTTACAGTGGTATGATGGCTTGTCCACGGTTTTAGAATGGTATTCAGTTTTCCTTCTCTTATACCGGTTGCCACATAAGGTTAGTGATGCCAGTCGACCCAATTATCATGGGAAGGCTTGTGAAATGTTTTCCTATTCTTCTCCATGGTTTCCTATTAAGATTAAGTTGTTCTTCTCTTAGATTGGTTACTATCCTAGATTAGTGAGATCAGTCTACCCTACTATTTAGGAGGTGGGGGAGGGAGAAAAGAAAAAAAGGTGTTTATACAAAAGTGAACGCAACACCCTTGTTCGGAATTTGAGCTTGTCTCGCAAACGCTACTCGCTGTGTCGTGGACCACTACGCTCTACGCGCACATTCTGTTAACTGATAAGCTTCGCCAATAAACCTGTTTCTTTTGGTTCCCAAACAACATAATGTATGCAGATGACCCAATGATAGCAAACACACAAAGAAAGCATCAAAAATCTCCCACAGAAGGTAGTGAAGGAAAGCGAGAAGAAAAGATTATACATTAACTGCAAGAAAACATGTTGCATGGTTGTTAGAAAAGGGATGAAGTTCGAACTGCAAATCGGAGGTTCCAAAATCAAAACACGTACCGAAATTTAAATATCTGGGAAGTGTTTTAACAAAGGACGGAAAGAGCGACACTGAAATACGAAAGCGTATTGGGATAACCAAAGGTGCCTTCCAAAAGCTAAGCAGAGTATTAAGAAACCGAAAAATTTCGTTAGAAACAAAGAAAAGATTACTGAATGTTATCTGAATTTTAGAATGATTACATTATTTTCTTGGGTATGGAATGTTTTTTTTTTATTTCACCGAAAAGCAAATTTCATCGCAAATATGGTAACTGTTCTTCTCGTACTGCTGCAGGAAACATCACTCTGGCTGCGTCGACATTTAAGGAAGCTGACGCCATTTTCAATCCAGAAAGTTTTAATATTCATCCTATACAGTGAGGCAATTCTGAGAGAATTAGAAGTCCTACCAGGATTCAGTATTGGCAGCTACAGTCTTAACATAAAATAAGCAGATGAGACATCGCAGATAACAGATACAGAAACGAAGCTACAACAACACCTACAGAATGTATTGAAGTAAAGCGAGAAGAAAGGACTAAACATCAACTGCAGGAAGTCAGGATGCTCGGTTGTTAAGAAAAAGATGAGTCCAAAATGTAAGTTACAAATTAGGGATACTAAAATCAAACAAGTACAACAATTTAAATATCAGGCAAGTGTTTTAACAGGAGACAGGAAGAGCGAAACTGAGATACAAAGGAGCATTGGGATAAACAAAGATGCCTTCCAAAAACTAAGCAGAGTATTAAGAGAGAAAAACTTCGTTAGAAACAAAAGAAAGACTACTGAACTGTAATGTGATATCTGTCCTCTTATATGGCAGTGAATGCTGAGCAATCTCCCCAAAGATGAAAAAGAGACTTGAAGCAACAGAAATTTGGTTCTACAGAAGGATGCTGAGGATACCATGAACCGAATATTGGAGCCACAACGAGGTTTTGGAGAAAATGGAAACAAAAAGGAAAATTATACTTAACATGAGCAAGATGCAGTTGAAAGACAGAATGCATGGTTGTTAGCAAAAGTACGAGCCCAAATTGCAAATTACAAATCGGAGGTACCAACATCAAAGAAATACGGAAATTTTTAAATATCTGGGGAGTGTTTTAACAGAGGACGGAAAAGGTGACACCGAGATCCGAAGGTATATTGGAATAGCCAAGGAAGCATACCAAAAGCTAAGCAAAGTATTAAGAAACAGGAAAATTTCGTTAGAAACAAAGAAAACAATACTAAACTGTTACGTGATATCTGTCCTCCAGTGTGGCACAGGGCTGGACGGTCTCCACAAGGATGAAGTAGAAACTTAAAGCAACAGAAATATGGTTCTACAGAAGGATGCTGAGGATACCGTGTACCGAACATGTGAGCAACGACGAAGTTTTGGAGAAAGTGAAACCAAAAAGGAAACTAATGCTTAACCTCAGGAACAGACAGTTGGAAGTTTCTGGGACGTATAATGAGGAGGGGGGGGGGCTTGAAAAAATCTGATACTAACAGGATAGATACAGGGCCAGAGGGAGAGAGATAAAACGATGCATGACATACTTAATGAGCTTGAGTAAATGGATGGCGGGACAGGGCACAAGAGAAATAAAAGGACAAAAGTTATTAAGAGCTATAAGGAAATTGTGGAGAGCCATGATCGCAACGGCACATGGAGAAAAAAAAAAAGAAAAAAAAAGAAAGACACCCAGAAAAGTAAAGTTCGCATTTCTTTTCCCTGTTCCTAACGTCGACCAATCTCATCCGGGGAGTTTGGGATATTTTGGCGCAGGGTGTGGCAGAAGCGGAATGGGATTAAGAGAAAGCATCTGGTCGAGCTATCAGGCGTAGGGGTTGATAAGAGCTCTGGAGGTTTAGAAGAGTGGCACGGTGGTAACCTGATATACCTTTTCCTGACGGAATACTCGGCGATTAGGGTACAACTAATCAAATAACACTGGACAGTAATTTCTGAGAGAGATATTGCTTTCCTCCAAACAGCTCGCTTTACATGGTCTACATATTTTTATAATATATTAACACCGCTTGTGTTTATTACCCTTCCGTCTCGTTTGAAGCTAAATGAAAAGGCGGGTAAAAACAGAAGGTTTAAGAAGCGAGAAAAAGGATGATAAATGTAAACAGGAAAAGTTATCAAGATTTCTTCTGCTTTGCGTGCCGTGTCCCCTCAGAACGATAGGCGATCATGGCTCTCCACATTTTCCTGTCCTTTATAACTCTTAATAAATTTTACCTTTTTTTATCTCTCCTAAACCCTGATCTGCCATCCATTTACTCAAGCTCATTCATGTTATGTTGATTTTCTAAGCGTAGCTTAGATGTGGCACAAGGCTAAACATATAGGGCACCTAGTGAGCATCGAACTCACTATTCAGTTGTAATTTAGAGAGACACGCTTGTTAACCATTACATGAAACTATTAGCATAGAACTTATGGTTACAAGTAGCCATATCTCGTAAAATGATAAGACCTTGCTACCAATTTAGTCCTTGTTCGTTATGTGCCGTGACCCTATCAGGGCATACGCGATGATGGCTCTCCACATTTTCCTGTCCTTTGTAGCTCTTAATAATTTTTGTTTTTTAATTATTTCTCCTAAACCCTGTTCCGTCATCCATTTACTCAATCTCACTAAGTATTTTATGCATTGTTTTCCTCTTTCTCTCAATCTGTCCTATGAGTAGCAGATTTTCCAAGCCCTCTTTCCTCGCTATGTGCCCTAGAAATTGCAACTGTGTCTTCCTGATGTTAACTATAATTTTCCTTTTTGTTTCCATTTTCTCCAAAACTTCTTCGTTTCTTACATATTCAATCTATGATATCCTCAGCATCCTTCTGCAGAACCACATTTCTGTTGCTTCAAGTCACTTTTTCATTTTTGGGGAGATTGTCCAACATTCACTGTCATATAATCGCCTCACTGTATAGGATGGATATTAAAACTTTCCGGAGTGAAAATGGCGTCGGTTTCCTTAAATGTAGACGTAGGCAGGGTGATGTTACGTGCAGCAATACGAGAAGAATAGTTACAATATTTGCAATGAAATTTGCTTGTTCGGTGAGATAAAAAACATCCCATACCCAAGAAAATAATGTAATCATTCTAAAATTCAGATATCACGTAACAGTTCAGTAATATTTTCTTTGTTTCTAACGAAATTTTCCTGTTTCTTAATACTCTGCTTAGCTTTTGGAATGCACCTTTGGTTATCCCAATACTCCTTCGTATCTCAGTGACGCTTTTTCCGTCCTCTGTTAAAACACTTCCCATTTCTGTATCTGCTATCTACGCTGTGTCATCTGCATATTTTATGTTGTTAAGATTGTGGCCGCCAATAATGAATCCTGGTAGGACTTCTAATTCTCTCTGAACCGTCTCACTGTATAGGTTGAATATCAAAACCTTCCGGATTGAAAATGGCGTCGGCTTCCTTAAATGTCGACTTAAGCAGGGTGATGTTTCCTGTAACAGTACTAGAAGAGGAATATTTACCATATTAGCGATGAAATTTGCTTGTTCGGTGAGAAAGAAAGCGTTCCATACCCGAGAAAATAATGTAATTATCTTAAAATGAGCCATTTTCCATTGTCACACAAATTATTCACGTTAGTGTTGTCGACTCAAGTCTGTGAAATTCGGTTTTCATTTTTTGGGGGTGAGAATCACAAAGTGCAATTTGTTTAGATACAGTGCATCTGTCTTTGAAATAATACTTGTCCATTGAAGGGAGGGAGAAAGTGAGGGTTAGTATTTTATGTCTCCGATGAGTAGGAAAGTGTCACGGTCCTATTTCTTTTTCTTCTTTTTTTTCTGTTTTTTTTTTTTTCTTTTATTGTCTCTCTTTTCCTCCTTTCTCTCTCATTTTGATTTTTCGTCTAGTTCTTTCTTTCTTTTTCCTTTCATTTTTACTCTCTTTTTCTCTATATTTTTCCTCTTTTTCTTTCTTTCTTTCTCCATCTTTCTTTTTTCTTTCTCTTAATTCTTTTCTCTTTCCTGTCTGCATTTATATTTTCCTTTCTTATTTCCTTTCTCTCCTTTCTCTTTTATTCCCTCTCTGTTTTTCTTTATTTTTCTTTCTTTCCTTTCTCTCATTTTTCTTTTGTCTCTCTGTTTTTCATTCTTTCTTTTTTCTTTCTTTCACACATATTTCTTTCCTTCTTTCTCTAAGTTCCTTTCTCTTTTCTCTCTGCATTCCTCTTTTACCTTTTTTATTTCTTTTCTCTCCTTTCTGTCTTTTCTCTCTCTTTATTTTTCTTCTTTTACTACTTTTATCTTTTTTTCTTCTTTTCTCTCATATCTTTAACTTTCTTTTTTTTGCGTTCTTTCATTTTCTTCTGTATCTTTCTCTTCTTCCTTTCTCTCATTCTCATGTTTTGTCTCTGTACTTTTCTTTCTTTCTTTTTTCCATTTATTCATTTACTCTCTTTCTCTCTCTCTCTCTCTCTCTTTCTCATTTAACTTTCTTTCTTCCCTTTCTCTCATTCTCTGTCTTTTGTCGATTTATTTCCCTTTCTTTCTTTCTTTCATTTCTCTTATTTACTCTCTCTTCCCCACTTCACTTTCCCACTATTTTCTGTTTTACTTTTTTTTTACTTTTTACTTGAAGTGACGACAAAAATGATTTTGTGTCGAATCCCATGTCATATGTAAATATAAATACGCACTTTGCATATTGGCGAAGGAAAATAAACATGTCCTTGAACAATGCCTAACTGACATTTGTGGAGCCGGTTACAGAACTCAAGTTTCTCTCTGCCCCATAAGCAGTCAGTATATCCTGTGAGTGTTAAATTCTCCAAGTACTCCTTCCTCATTATGTGTCCCAGAAACTTCAACTCTCTCTTTCTGTATATATAAGCGTACTTTTATTCTTGGATCTGGTAGTGACGCAGGAATGAACAATAACTAACATAACAGGGACAAAATACCACAATGGACACCTGATGATGACCAGAGTGAACTTAGTCGAAACGTTGTCTCTATAATAACATCTGCATCAATCAAGATGAAAACAATAATGCAAGAATATTACAAATTACTCATCTCAGAAATTACATACTAAACTATTTACCATATTACAATATTCAACAGTTATCAGTCAATTAATGGGCACCTGATGATGACCAGAGGGTACTTAATCGAAACGTTATCTCTATAATAACATCTATATCAACCAAGATGAGAAGAATAATTAGAAATAATGCAAGAATATTAACAATTACTTTTGCCAGAAAGGAAATTTTAAAGTGATTTTTTAGTTTCCATTTTCTTTAAAATTTCGTTTCTCACATGTTCTATCCATGGTATTCTTAGCCTCCGTGGTTCAGGAGTGTTAATGAGTCTTACTGTCACTTGATCTCAAGTCAAGGCCACCAGAAAAACGTGACAAGTACGAATAATAATGTTAATAATATAACAACCTAAATGACAGTATTACTAAAATCAACTTAATTTAAACTATCCAGAAGTTTGACTAAAATATGAAATTACAAATTTAACAGAAAGATTACCAATGCGGAAGTAGCAAAAAGGAAGCTTATTTTCTTTTCACATATTCATTTTTTTACTTTGTACTTTTTTATCGAAATGGTAAAGTCGTTTTATATTCTATGATCGTTAAGATGTGACACAATGAGTCCCTGATCGATTGGCTTATGGCAATCAGATAGTCAAGAGGTCTGTAAATGATTTTATCGGGGCCTGAAGTGCCAGTAGATTTATGACAACCAGCAGTAAAATCGAGATGTGAGAGCTTCAAAGCAACTAATGGCAATTTTTTTAACGGGGCCTGAAGTGCCGATAGATTTTTGAATACCAACAGTAAAATCGAGATGTGAGAGCTTCAAAGCAACTAACCGCTTTTCAGAATGGAAAACTTCCGGGATCAAGCGACACTCGACCGGAAGGTGAGGAGTTCCGTTTGGGGACGTATATAAACAGGCCGCATTCGCGAATGATCATTCAGAGTCCTTCAGACATGGTATAGAGGGAGCAGTGAGAATGACAGTCGGAGTCCTCGCTCGCCTAAAAAAAATCTGGTCCATTAATCTGTTGTGAGCGAAGAGAGAAATAGCAGTGATGATGTCACAACTGCCACTTACATACTCAGCCCAATCAAGTAGCAGGTAAATTTTAGTTATAAAATGCTCAGTATGTTGACACGCAGAATTTGTGTTTTCTTTTCTCGCTGTGGGCGTTAAAAAGATTATACATAAACTGTTCGAAGTCCATGCCTTACTTCTGTTTTTTGTTAATTTCGACCGTGTCAGTCATTATCAAAAACTGCTGTCAGTATGGTAGACATGATTTCGTATGTTATATCCTGACATTTTTGTTACGTCATAATATAAATATATTCATATATATGTGTATCATACAAACAGTGGAACAGTTTCCCAGAGCTGAACTGTGCCAGAAGAGAATGGGTCAAATATTTATATGTATTACACACGTCCCTATATATATATATATATATATATATATATATATATATATATATATATATATATATATTTGTGTGCATTTAGGCAGCAATCCTTCTTTTATGCACGTTTTCTTTTCTTTTCGGTAGATAAATTATATAAAAACTATCCAATTGTTCTTTTTTGTCGAGCGCTTTCAATGTAGATTGTTGTATGCATGTATTTATATAATGTTTTCATTTTCAAAACACGGTCAAGATATTGTGTCAATGTTCAGAGTTGATATTATTGAGTGTTGTTCTTTTTTATTTTATTAATAAGGCTTACTTTATTTTTAAACTTTTTTACGTGTAGACGATGCTATTATATTTGTGTTATCAATGAATATGTTGTAAACAGGACCAGTAGGTCTCCATGAGTATTTAAATGAGAGCTAACTGAGCTATGATCAGAAAGATGTAGTGTGAGTCTTCTTGTCAAACATGTTGTAGTGTGGCCTATATAATTGTTTACGAATTTTGATTGATCAGGAATACAATTCCTTAATGGACATTTAAATTCGTAAATAGCACACACACACACACACACACACACACACACACATGACTGTGGCTGAAATGTTGTGAATAGGGCAACAAAGATGGGGAAAACAGTAAATAATTACAATACCTCATCACAGAAATGAACAAAGTGTGAATGCACAAATAAACACAATTTAATGTAATAATAATAATAATAATAATAAGCAACAAATAATGAGTAAAGTTAACAACACTATACAATAGCTATAAACTGCATTCGGATACACATTTATTTTTACTCAATAGTCTCTAGAATAATTTGAAATATAACCGTTACCGCCTATCTATTAACTGTTACGATAATACAATAGACCTTGATACTCATAATGCACCATTGACCAGTATATATATATATATATATATATATATATATATATATATATATACCGGGTGTGTAACAGCAAAATTGTCCAAATCATGTAACAGTAAAATTGTTCAATTGTTAGATTAAGCTTTGAACCGTTGTATCTTCTACCACTTCGTCCCCAGCCCCTCAACCTCCGGCGTCTTCCTCTTTGGGTTGAGGTGTCCACTCGGTCCGAACTAAACTTAAGGGTAACTGGCCATACGCTCCCTGAGTACCCGTAGATTATTTCGACCGGTCAACTGGTCAAGTCCTGCTCACTGCCTACGCTGTGTTAGTTTTTACGTCCAATAAGCGGAGTGTTGTCCATACGATCACGGTCGACTGGGGATGTGGACACGGCTGTGAGAGTTAGCGCTAGGAAGTTTTAGAATGTGGCAAAATAAATCAAGAAATAATATCTGCAGACGCCAGACAACAATGGGGGAAATATTGACGTCTTTTATATAAGAAGATAACATCAGAACAGAGGTTACAGGGAGAACAAAGACATTTAACATAAATGAGAAAATAAAAATAAAAAGACAAAATACATCCAGCGAATTCCCAACAGAGAGAGGGTTTGTGTGTGAAAAACGCGTATTGAATCTCCTGGGGTAGGTTCGTGACTAATAGTCCACTCTCATACAGACTTCTCAGAACAGGGGTCAGTCTTCTTTCTCTTCTCCAAAATTCTCCCGCAAATCTCTCGATCACTGCGACGATAGTCTCGTGACTCTCTCGACTACAGTCTCTTTCCCCGACTCTGCTTTATTATCAAAATCTCGAGTTAATATAGAAAAAGCATCAGCTGATCATAATTGATTCTCGGCCCGGCACGCAGCTACCACGAATGCCAAAAACTATCCCTTGACATGTAAACCGATTCTCCAATTATTTACCTTATCTCAATCACGAGTTCTTCTCGCTTCATCAAAATTATACTTTGGGATATCTAAACATTGATTCAACCTTTTAATCAAAACAAATACTGCTAAACAAAACCAAGTATCTCGCCTATCCCCATTGTTTGCTAGTGACCCAGGTTTAAAACATCGCCTCCTGCCCTGAGATCGTGTTTCTCATAGGTAAACACACATCTTAACCCAAATTGTACTTTGGTATATAAACATCGTTTCCATTTCCAGTCAATAAAAGTTATATTTGCGTATGTGCGTTCATGTGGATGTATATGAGTATACCTCTCTCTCTCTTACAATCTTAGAAATGATATAAGATATCTTACTGGAATTTTCCGAGGTTTTTGTAACACTTTTGGTTTATACTTTCAGCAATAAGAATATATAATTATTCCTCAAACTTAACAGAAGAATCGTGATGAAATCGATCATAAACAAAAATGACATGTTCATCATTAATTAATCATAAGAATCGGAAACTATTAGAGGATTGAAATAAAGTTTATATATATATATATATATATATATATATATATATATATATATATATATATATATACATCCTTGAAACAGGAAATTATGAATTTATATGAAATTACGAATTTATATGTGCGTTTCAAACTCAATAAATTTAATAATAAGTTGTTCCAAAATTTGCTTGAAGATGAAACAGAAATAATGCTTTTAATTTAATTATATAATTAAATTTGAAGTTTTTAGCTTCAGTTTTTGAAACATGGTTATTACTGTGTAGCGAAGAAACCATATGTTAAATCAGTTAATATATATATATATATATATATATATATATATATATATATATATATATATATTCCAGGATCATTTTCCAACTTATTCAAGATGATCTACGCCCTCTCACCAAGCTTAACAAAAGAATTGTGATGAAATCGATCATAAATGAAAATATGTTCATTAATTAATCATAACTAAGCTGGATCAGAATCTCATGAAGGATTGAAATAAAGTTCAAATATATATATATATCATTCCAGGATCATTTTTTTAAACTTGTTCAAGTTGATCTTCTCCCTCTCTAACCTTCTAATTTTCTGTCATTGTGTAACAAGGCGCCTCACGGGTTTTACGTACAATTTCATTTTCAAGTTCTTTTTTTCACTGCTCTTTGGACTGTCATAGCTGAAACTCCTCTCTGACGTGCCAAACGTCTTATGGATCGAGTTGGATCATTCTTAATTGATCTCTTTAGCTCTAAGTTGAAATGATGATCCCTTTTCCTGTTGTGATCTCATGATCCAGTTTTCCTCTCTACTGTTCCATCTTTTTAAACCGTTCACCGTTCTCTTGATGGTTTTTTAA